TGCTGCCCAAGTGAGCTCATAGAAACATTTCTCTCACTTGGAGTGAGGAGAGGGGAACCCCTGCCAGCTTGAGAGCTTAGAGGAGACTGTTAGCTAGTGTGAGGTGCTTTAGAGGCTAGTGATAGTAAGGCTAGCCTAGGAAGGTGGTCCGCCATATCCCCCAGGCTGTGAGGAAGAAGGCAAGGCTAGGGAGAGTCTCATTAACCCTCCTAGAGGGGAGGACTTCATAGCCATAGTGGTAGGGGTTTGTTGTAACTTAAGGGGGACTGAGAAGGGGAGAAGGGCGTGAGGAAGAAGGAAGTCATAGCCAAGTGGGGAGGAGCAGCACCAAGACTAGTACATCAATTCCAAGACCCAAGAGGAGGTGAATGAAGAGAAGCTTCTCCTTCTCCTTCGTCTTCTTCCTTTTTTTTTTTTTTTTTTTTTTTTTTTTCCTTCTTCGTCTTCGTCTTCCTTCTTCTTCTTCCTATTCTTCTTATTTTTCTTCGTCCTCTTCTTCCTCTTTTTTTTTTTTTTTTTTTTTTTTTTTTTTTTTTTTTTTTTTTTTTTTTTTTTTTTTTTTTTTTTTTTTTTTTTTTTTTTTTTTTTTTTTTTTTTTTTTTTTTTTTTTTTTTTTTTTTTCCTTCTCCTTCTTCCTCTTCTTCCACTTCTTCTCTCATCCTCTCATGTTCCAACATCTATACTTTCTCTTATCTCCTGTCTCTCCATGGATGTTTCCCAAAGGTTAGTATAGATAGTAAGGGGTTTCTCTACTAGTAATGGACTCTCCATTGTCCATTTCTTCACTATAGAGTAAATCTCTACTTTCCCTTTGTGTATGTGTGCTCAAAAGTGAGTTCACTCACTTACTCTCCATGTTTTGCTTCATTCTTCACTTGGGTGTAAATTGTTACTTCTAGCTTGACTTATTCTAGTGTTTTAGTGGTGTTCTGCTCATGCATTGTCCATTTCTTCACTATAGAGTAAATCACTACTTTCCATTTTGTGTGTGTGTGCTCAAAAGTAAGTTTCATTCACTTTCTCTCCATGTTTTGCTTCATTCTTCACTTGGGTGTAAATCGCTACTTCTATGTTGACTTATTCTAGTGTTTTAGTGGTGTTGTGCTCATGTATTGTCCATTTCTTCACTTTAGAGTAAATCACTACGTTCCCTTTTGTGTGTGTATGCTCAAAAGTCAGTTTCGCTCACTTTCTCTCTATGTTGTTTCACTCACTTTCTCTTCATGTTTTGCTTTATTCTTCACTTTGGTGTAAATCGGTACTTCTATTTTGGCTTGTTCTAGTGTTTTAGTAGTGTTGTGCGCATGCATTGTGCATTTCTTTACTATAAAGTAAATCGTTACTTTCCCTTTTGTGTGTGTGTGCTCAAAAGTGAGTTTCACTCACTTTCTCTCCATATTTTGCTTCATTCTTCACTTGGGTGTAAATCGTTACTTCTATCTTGGCTTATTTCTAGTGTTTTAGTAGTGTTGTGCTCATGCATTGTCAATTTCTTCATTATAGAGTAAATCGCTACTTTCCCTTTTGTGTGTGTGCTCGAAAGTGAGTTTCGCTCACATTCTCTCCATGTTTTGCTTCATTTTTCACTTGGGTGTAAATCGCTACTTCTATCTTGGTTTATTCTAGTGTTTTAGTAGTGTTGTGCTCATGCATTGTCCATTTCTTCACTATAGAGTAAATCGCTACTTCCCCTTTTGTGTGTGTATGCTCAAAAGTGAGTTTCACTCACTTTCTCTCCATGTTTTGCTTAATTCTTCACTTGGGTGTAAATCGCTACTTCTATCTTGGCTTATTCTAGTGTTTTAGTGGTGTTGTGCTCATGCATTGTCAATTTCTGCACTCTAGAGTCAATCACTACTTTCCTTTTAGGGTGTGTGCTCAAAAGTGAGTTTCACTCACTTTCTCTCCATATTTTGCTTCATTCACTTGGGTATAAATCGCTACATGTATCTTTGTTTATTCTAGTGTTCTAATAGTGTTGAGTTCATGCATTGTCCATTTTTCCACTCTAGTGTAAATTGCTACTTCCCCTTTTGTGTATGTGTGTTCAAAAGTGAGTTTCACTCACTTACTTTCCATGGTTTGCTTCATTCTTCACTTGGGTGTGAATTGCTTCATGTATGTTTGCTTATTATAGTGTTCTAGTAGTGTTGAGCTCCTGCGTTGTCCATTTTTTCACTCTAGTGTCAATCGCTACGTTCCCTTTTGTTTATGTGTGCTCAAAAGTGAGTTTCACTCACTTACTGTCTATGTTTTGCTTCATTCTTCACTTGGGTGTGAATCGCTACATGTATCTTTGCTTATTCTAGTGTTCTAGTGGTGTTGAGCTCATGCATTGTCCATTTCTTCACTCTAGAGTAAATCGCTACTTTCTCTTTTGTGTATGTATGCTCAAAAGTAAGTTTCACTCATCTGCTCTCTGTGTTTTGCTTCATTCTTCACTTGGGTATAAATCGCTACATGTATCTGTGCTTTTCCTAGTGTTCTAGTGGTCTTGAACTCATGCATTGTCTATTTTTTCACTCTAATATAAATCTCTACTTCTCACTTTGTGTGTGTGAACTCAAAAGTGAGCGTCACTCGCTTTCTCTCCGTGTTTTGCTTCATTCTTCACTTGGGTATAAATCGCCACTTGTGTTACTGTTTTTCCTAGTGATCAAGTAGTCATAAGCTCATGCATTGTCAACGGTTCATGGTAAAGTCTACTTACGCTTATATCTTGCTGATACTACTGTGGAATGGGTGACCGACGTTTGGCTGCTACTACTGTGGGATGGGTGATCGGCGCTTGGCTGCTACTATTGAGGGATGGGTGACCGACGCTTGGTTGTTGCGGCTGTGGGATGGGTGACCGGCGCTTGGCTGCTACTACTGTGGGATGGGTGACCGACGCTTGGCTACTACTAATGTGGGATGAGTGACCGACACTTGTCTGCTACTGCTGAGGGATGAGTGACCGGCGCTTGGCTGCTGCTCCTTCCTCCTCCACCATCTTCTTCACCCATCCACCATAGCCAGGGTTTTCGAGCCTCGGCCCCGGGGCCCTGGTGGGGATCCGGGGGTGGGCACCCTCAACCCGACTCCGGACCCCCCCTAACCGGCGCTTGGCTGCTACTGTTGTGGGATGAGTGACCGACACTTGGCTGCTACTGCTCTGGGATGGGTGACCAATGCTTGGCTGCTACTGCTATGGCACCACCGAAGAGGAGAGAACATACGTCCTCACAACTTTGCCCTCCACCACCATCTTCACCCATCCACCATAGCCAACCACCTCACACCTTCTTCCTCCTCCATCTTCTTCACCCATATACCATAGCCAACCACCTCACACCTGCCTCCTCCACCATCTTCTTTACCCATCCACCACAGTTAGGGTTTTCGAGCCTCGGCCCCGGGGCCCTGGTGGGGGTCCGGGGGTGGGCACCCCCAACCCCGGCTCTGGACCCCCCCAAAAAAAAAAATCAAAAAAAAAAAAAAAAAAAAAAAAAAAAAAAAAAAAAAAAGTGGGGGGTACGCAGCGAGAGCGCGCACCACCCGGGCTAAACCCCAAAAATGGGGTTTTATGCCCCACCCCGAACCCCCCCCGGGGCCACACCCACCACTGGTGGGATCGAGGTAACTGCTGGTGCGGGGCCGGGGGTAAGACCAACAGCCGGCGGGGCCGGTGGTGTGGGGTGCGGGGCGCGGGG